CGGACTGTGGGAGGCAGGGCCCCCTCGGGGAGAGGGATCCTAGGGAGGGAGGGGGGCGCAAAGGCCGGGGGTGGGGGTGGGGAGGCTCCCCTGGTTTCTCCAGAGCGGCCCTTCTCACAGTGCGGTCTGTGGAGCCCTGGAGGTTTCTAAGAGCCTTTCACGGATCTATGAGGTCAAAACTGCTTTCACAGGATCAAGGGCATCATGTGCCTTTTCACGGTGCCCACGTTTGCTCTGAGGTGAACGTAGCAGCGGCGGGGGCTGGGACACCCGACGGCAACAGCAGGTGCTCTTTGCCACCTTCAGTCACAGACTAGAAAGTAAACCAGTGTCACTTTGGAAAAACAGTCAAAGGATAGAAAATTACTGTCGTTTCTGAATCATCATCCTTAAGTGGAATTTTTAAAATATCTTGGCTTCCTGCTGAGATGGCTGTGCAGGTAAATGCCGTATTTCCCTCCCCCGAACACCACATCAAAACTACAATACACTACAAACAACCATCACTCAGAACCACCTGAAATCTAGTGGAACAGAAGTCCCACGACTAGGCGGTTCAGAAGCCACATTGAGAATGGCTGGAGAGGCAGAGATGCCGAGCAGGCTGGTCCCACACCCGTGTGCGGCCGATGAAAATCCAAAGGGACACCTCGGCCGTGCTGGTGCCCCTGTGCAAGGAGGCACCGCAGCCCTAAGGGACGCCCCTCAGCCCAGGGTGCCAGTGCCAGGAAGACAAGTCTCCACAACTTCTCGTTGTAAAACTCCGCGGTGATTGTGGCTCAGTGAGACGGAAGCTCTGGAGTCCCAGGAAGTTCCCCTTAAAGGCCCACACACACAGACTGACTCTGAGCTCATGTGCTGGGACAGCAGCTCAGAAGGCACCCGGAACATACGCGGAGCAACGGAATTGTCCGGCGTCAGGGTGGGAGCTGAGGGGCAGCTTCCTCCCAGGTGGAAGTGCTGGCAGAGGACATTCTTCCTTTTCTGAGTCCTCCCCACTCAGAGCTGGCAGGTGGGTGTCATGTCTGAGTCTTCATCAGTCTGGCTCTCATTCTTTGCTGCGCCCTGATGATTCCCTAAACGCCACCCAACTTAGGGGCCCCCATGGTCCCTTCTAGTGATGTTTCCATACAAGCAGCCTGTCTTGGCTCATGCTACAGATTTTCCTAAAATGTCTCAAACAAGCAGCACCTGGGCGAGGCCTGCCCTGTGTCTGCACCTACATGGCCCCGGCCCCGTGCTAGCGGCACTGGCCTTGGTTCACAGCATGGCCTCTCCCAGGCACCTCCAAACCCAGCACAAGTAGCAGCCACCTGCAGATAGTGTTGTAGTTCAAGCCGGGTGGCCCTGGGCAGGACATAGGTGGTCGCTGAGCACGGGCTGCACCTCCCGAGAGGACCCTGAGTCAGCACACCTGGGGGACCGCTTTGGGCCTCAGCAAAGCACCGCCCACCGCCTCCACAGCGACACACTCTAGGGGCGGACTTCTTGGGCACCAGAGCCTCCACTCTGGTTGCAGCCAGTCCTCACAGCCGATCAGGCTGGGAGTAAACCCTTCCCATCGCCAACAGCAATCATGACACAACCACACACTGTCCACAAGGGGAATGCACCTGGAGCGCCCTGGTTAGCTGACCAGGGACGCTTCAGCTCTGGGCCCTTGGGGACACCTACTACATAGGGACACTCTCCATAGACCAGGAGATGTAGCAGCTCCACCTGTCACGTAGAAACCAATGCAGGAAGGCTGCCTAAATAGGAAGTAAAGCATCATATCCCAAATGAAAGAACAGAACAAAACACCAGGAAAAGAACTCAATAAAATGGAGACAGGCCGTCTACTAGATGCAGAGTTCAAAACACCGCTCATAGGGATGCCCAAAGAACTTAGGGGAAGAGTAGGCGAAGTCAGTGTGAACGTCAACAAAGATATAGGACAAATAAAATTAAAATAGAAAACATTATAAAAGAAAAGTTCCATTACTGAAATGAAGAATACATTACAGGGAATCAACAGTGCAGTAGAGGAAACATAGGATGAAATAAGAGATTGAGAAGAAAAGAAACAGAAAACACCCTTCAGAATAGCAAAAAGTAAACAATACAAGAAAATGAGGATAATACAGGAGCCTCTGGAACGACGTCACGCATCCCCACATTCGTATCATGGTGGTGCCTAAAAGACAAGAGAGAGCGCAAAGAATTGAAGCCCTATGAAAAGAAATAATGATGGAAAACTTCCCTAAGCTGGTGAAGGAAGTTGACATACAAGTCCAGAAAATGCAGAGTGTCCCAAACAAGATGAACCCAAAAAGGCCACAGCAAGACACATCACAATTAAAATGTAAAGGTTAAAGACAGAGAGAGAATTTTAAAAGCAGCAAGATGAAAGCAGTTAGTTACCTACAAGGGAGCTCCCATAAGACTGTTGAAAAGTTTCTCAACAAATCTTTCAGGTCAAAAGGGATTGGCAAGCCATCATTTTTAATTGAAGGACTGATAAAGAGCTTCCCAGACAAGAAAAGCTAAAGAAGTTTATCACCATCAAACCAGTAGTGCAAGAAATGTTAAAGGGTCTTGAAGAAGAAGAAGGAGGAGGAGGAGGAAGAGAAGAAGGGAAAGAAGAGGAAATAATATCAATAATAAAGTGGATATAAATACGTATCTATCAAAAATTCCTTTAAGTGAAAATTAATTTACTCTAATCAAAACACATATGGTGGCTGACTGAATAACAAAACAAGATTCTTACATATGCTGTCCACAACAGACTCAAATGAGATTGAAAGATAAACACAGACTGAAAGTAAAGGGATGAAAAAAGGTATTTCATGAAAATGGAAACAACAACAAAAAAAGCTAGAGTATCAATATTTACACCAGACAAAATAGACTTTAAATAAAAGGCTACATGACAAGAGAGAAAGAAGGTCCCCGCCATTCCACTTCTGGGTGTTTCTCTGAAGAAACCCAAAACACTAAATCAAAAAGGCATGCACCTCCATGTGTTCATTGCAGCATTACTTACAAAAGCCAAGATATGGAAACTACCTAAGTGCCAAGTCATCAATAGATGACTTGATAGTAGAGAAGTATATGTATACAACACAATGTAACTAAGCCACACACACACACACACACACACACACACACACACACAAATGAAATCTTGTCATTGGCAACAACATGGATGGAGTGTATTGTGCTGAGTGTGTTAAGTCGGACAGAGAAAGAAAAATGCCAGATGATTGCACTTATACGTAGAATATAAAGAACAAAATAAATGAATAAGTTGAACAGAAACAGACCCATAGATTCAGGGAACAGACTGAAGGCCGCCAGATGAGAGAGGCGTCGGGGGCTGGGTGTGAAAGGAGGAGGGACTGAGAAGGACAGATTGGTCGTTACAGAACCGTCACGGGGATGTGAGGTGCAGCGCAGAGAATGTAGTCGGGGATACTGTGAACTGCGTGCGGTGTCAGACGGGCACTGGGTTTATCAGGATGGTTGGTTTGTAATTTATATAAATGTCTAATCGCGGTCATACACCTGAAACAAGTATGATGGTGAACATCAGCTGGAATTGAAAAATAAAACATCTTTAAAATATGTCTTGAATTCATTATACAAATGGATCAATATTGCAATGGCCCTTAAGGTAAATGAAGAACAAGAAATAAAACACCGCCCACGATGACCGGGAAAGTGCACCAACACCCTGCTGCTGCGTTCCCCTGTGTCATGGCCCCGGGAAACGGCCCGCGTGGGCCGAGCCAGCCTCTCCTTATGGAGCAGCCTGTCCACTTAAGAGAGTGAGTGACACAGGAACTGTGATGCCTGAGGGGTGGGTGGCCCGGCAAACACTTGCTCAGAAATGAACGTGCGCCTCTCCCTCAAGGAAGGCCGCCGGCCAGCGGGCACCTGACAGCCCTTGTCTGGGTAGAAGGGAGGCTCTCGGGGGGGAAAACCGGGATTTTGGCAAACTTGGGTCTCACCGGTAACCGGACAGCTTGCCGGAGCTGACAGACGTTTCCAGTGGGATCTGCGGGAACTTTAACAAATGTGACTTTTTGATGATGTGTAACTAAATGCATCAACACTGGGAGATCTCTACCACTGAGTAAGACGATGCATTCATTTTAAATAATCCTGGGTCAGTACAAGAGCCAAGAAGCAAGGAAACAAATAGGAAATACTCCACGGTATAGTTTCAGGTTCCATTTTGCAAAGAACTTTTCAGGAATTACGACTTGTGCAGTTTTAGTGTCCAGCCAAAGAGGAATATCCACACTTATCTGAAAAAGTTACCGAAAATCTTCTACATATTTGTGTGAGGCTGTATATTTCTTCATCTACTGCAACCAAAATAACAGATTAAATGCAGAAACAAGTATCGAAATCCAGCGGACCTGTAGTGATACAGACAAGAACTGAAAGTTGCAAAAAAGTAAAATGTGGGCAGATAGACTTTTGTCACTACTTCCTCTATTTCAGGAATAATATTCCTCATAAACATATTTCTTTTAATGTAGCATCGGTTATTAATATTATTCTGAATGAAATAATTTTTCAAACTCTTTTCTGCCTTGTGCGGTCAATATCGACGGCTACAACCCACACAAACAAAATTACTTGGGGCACCGCCCTATTTTGTAAGACTGCACAGATGTTCGGAAACCAACATGTTTGAAAGTCGCTGAATAAGACGGCACCTGGGCCAGGACTGAGGGTGACACAGGGACAGAGAGTTCTCGGGGCAGGAGCGGGGCTCAGGGTCCCCAAGCCCGGCTAACGGGGTCTCAACCCAGATCCGAGTCTAGGGCGAGGACTCTCAGCGTTGGGGTGTCCCCTTCTCCTTGTCACGGGGCCTTCCGCCTGGATACTCATGACGCCCCCGCCATCCTCACTCCCATTGGGTATCCGAACTCCAGACGAGCCAATCCGCGTCACCGTGATTTCGAGTATAAAATCCTCCACGAGCACCCGAATTCCTCGTTCCCAGACGCTGAGGGCCTGGATCATGGAGCCCCGACTCCTGCTCCTGCTGCTCTCGGGGGTCCTGGCGGTGACCGCGACCTCGGCCGGTGAGTGCGGGGTCGGGAGGGAACGGCGTCTGCGGCGCAGGAGGGAGGGGACCCCGCGGGAGCGCAGGACCCGGGGATGGCGCGTCGCCAGCGCCCCCCGCCCAGACCCCAGGCCCCGATTCCAGCCTCAGTCCGCCCGTCGCCCCGCTCCCGCCCCTCCTCCCAACCACCGCATCCGTTTCTTTCGGCCCGGCCACCTGACCGTACGGGCCCCACCGCGGACCCTGGACGCGCGCCCTCCCCTCCCGCAGGACCCCACACCCTGAGACATTTCATCACCACCTTGTCCGGACCGGGAGTCGGGAAGTCCCAGCACACTGTCGTCGGCTACGTGGACGACACGGAGGTCCTGCGGTTCGACGGCAACGTCCCGAACCCGAGGGTTGTGCCGCGGGTGCCGTGGACGGAGCAGCCGTGGGTGGAGCAGGAGGATCCAGATTTTTGGGAGGAGCACACGCGGGTCTACAAGCTCCACCAAGAGGCAATCCAAGCGAACGTGAACGACCTGCGCGCCCACTACAACCAGAGCGAGGACGGTGAGCCGCGCGCGCCCGGGTCCGGGCAAGACCCGCAGCCCCACGGACGGGCCGGGGTGGCCCTGAATCTGCGGGTCAGAGCCTCCCCCGAGGCAGCGGGACCCTCCCTGCCCCGACCCCGGGAGGAGCCCGCGGCGGTCCCGACCCAGTCTTGTTTCCGTTCAGTTACGTTTGGTGTCCGCAGGACGGGCCTCGACTGGTGGGGTCGGGGACACAGCTGTCCTCTGGCGGGACGGAGTGGGCGGGGCTGATTTCGCGGCGGGGTCAGGGTCCCACACCTTCCAGGAAACGTGCGGCTGCGTTGTGGGGTCGGACGGGCGCTTCCTCCGCGGGTTCATTCTACGCGCCTATGACGGCACCGAAACGTTCGCCCTGAACGTGGACCGGCGCACCTCAACCGACCAGGAAAAGACGGCGCAGATCACCGTCCAGCGCGATCTGCTGCATCGAGATAATGTAGAGTGTTGGAGGAACTACCTGGAGAACTGGTGCGTGCAGTGGATCCGCCGGCTCCTGGAGAAGGGGAAGGACAGGCTGCTCCGAGCAGGTGCCGGGGCGCGGGCCTCCCTGGGGAGGGGTCTGTAGGCTGGGGCGGCTCCTACAGGGAGAGGAGAGAGGGGGGGAGAATCCGCCACCTGCTCGGGAGAGGGAAGAGACGCCAGGTTTCCTTCTTCTGTGACTCCCCCGCGGGCCCAGCTTCCTCTGAAGGACAGCAAGGGACCCAGCCTCTCCCTGAAACAGCCACAGCGGCTCCCTCACACCCTGCAGCCACCTGGTGCCCAGGACCCGCTCCCTGGTTCCCGGGCTGAGACCGTCTCTGGAGGCCTGACTGCGGCTTTTCGGAGTCATTCGGTCTCCACCTGAGTCTGTGTCTCCCCTTAGAGACCTGGAGATTCCTCCTCTAGGTTCTCCTCTTGAATCTGGAACTTTTCAAGAAAGAAGACATTATCCCAGATGGTTCTGTCCAGACTGATATCTGCATGGTCCACTGCTGAGTGTCCCCTGACCATGCAAAGTTCCTGCATTTTCTCACCCCTCCCCCTCAGACCCTCCAAGGACACAGGTGACCCGCCACCGCATCTCTGACCGTGAGGTCACCCTGAGGTGCTGGGCCCTGGGCTTCTACCCGTCGGACATCACCCTGACCTGGCAGCGTGACGGGGAGGACCTGACCCAGGACATGGAGCTTGTGGAGACCAGGCCTGCGGGGGACGGGACCTTCCAGACGTGGGCGGCCGTGGCCGTGCCCCCTGGACAGGAGCAGAGCTACACGTGCCGCGTGGGGCACGCGGGGCTGCCCGAGCCCCTGACCCTGCGATGGGGTGAGGGGGGGGGCGTGGGCACAGAGCCTCTCCTCAGGGCGTCCCTGCGCGGGGTCAGGACTCGGGCCTGAGGGTGGCCTCTCACCTTCCCTTCTCAGACCCCTCTCCTCGGACCACCGTCCCCATCGTGGGCATCGCTGCTGCCGCCCTGGGTCTCCTTGTTGCTGCGGTCGCTGTGGCTGTGACGTGGAGGAGGAAGCGCTCAGGTGGGCAGGGGTGGGGCCGAGGTCCCTGTCCCCCTGGGGGTCAGGCCCAGGTGGCCGTGTGCTCCGCCTCGTGAGTGGGCATCGTACCCACTCGGGTGCTGCCCATCGGGGGCCTGTTTGCCAACACTGACCCTTCAGTGAGGCCCGTGGGAAAGTGAGGGACAAATTCATCACCTGATGACTCTAGTGATGGGGACGGGTTCCCAGCTGTCACAGGTCAGAGGGGAAGGTCCCTGCTGAGGACAGCCATCCAGAGGGATGGTAGGTCCAGTCCTTGCACATGTGCTTTCCTCATATTTCCTGATCTTACCCTGAAGCTCAGTTGCAATTCTGGAAACTTCCTGCGATTCAGGACTATGGGGGTCCTTTAGGGTCACGTTACCCAGCCTCCCCCCCCCCCGACTCCTCACAGAACATTTGCTTCCCACAGGCAAAGGCAGGGAGAGCCGCGCTCAGGCTGCCTGTAAGTCTGGGTGTCGGGAGGGGACATCTGGGACCCTGGGGAGCGTGTGGGCTGGAGTCTAGGAGGGGGCTCCCCACCCCGTGACTCCTCTGCTGTGTCCTTCCCCAGGCGGCGACAGTGCCCAGGGCTCTGATGTGTCTCTCACAGCTGCTGACGGTGAGACCCTGAGGGCAGGACGCGGGGGCACTGGGTCTGAGGGGCACCGCTGGGTTTTGGGGAGTCTCAGAGTGGGACATGCTGAGGCTGCGGTGGCTGTGGGGGACTGTGACTCTTCTGAGACTGACCGGAATGTGTTCATGACAACGTTCTTTCCCAGAGTGACCGATCTGCCTTGTAGGAGACTGTGCAAAAATAGTCATTCCAGCCTCCCCTCGAACTTTCAAGGATCCGTGACTGCTGTTTCTTCAACTGGTGTCAGATACTGTCTGCATTATTTTAAAATTAGATATATATATATATAAATCAGAAGTGATTTAGATTAAAAGCTCCGAAGTGTATTGTTTTTGGTAGGTGTTATTCGATGTACACTTTCACCCCATTTGTTAAGACAAATGTAAGTTATCTTCAAGGCCACAGACTTACAATGAGGTGTGGAGCCAACCTGGGTGGGACAGAACATGTGCCACGTGACAAGGGGACCACACGGCTCCCCGGCGATGTCCCCTGGGACCGCCTGTGCTCCGTGCACAATTCAGGTTTCTTCCCGCACATCCGAATGTGACCTTTTGGAGCCTCAGGCCGTGGCTGGGTTTGCCCCCTGATTCTAACCAGGTGCCGCTTTGTGCCCCAGGAGTCCCCCGAGCTTCCAGGCCCCCCTCCTGCGAACCTCAGGGGTGTCCCTGTGGGGCTCAGAGCGCCGACCCCTCTGAGGGTGGGGACACCTGCCTACAGCAGGAGCTGCTCCGGCGCCCACTGTCCTCGACCCACCGCAGACCCTGTCCTCAGTCTGCGGGTGCCGAGCCCTGGAAGGTCCTGGCCAAGGCGCCGATGCCCTTAGCGGCTTCCCCTGAGGGGCCCTCCCCAGGAGAGAGCCCTCGGGCCACAGGGCCAGCCTGGCTGCTGGGCTGAGCCCAGAATCAGGAGACAAGGGACCCGCGAGGCGGGAGGGGAACCGCCCTGCGTTCCCGGCTGCAGCCGCTGGGGGCGCTGCCGGGCCGTGGACGGTGGGAACGGTAGGCAAGGTGGGGAGGGACTCGATGCTGAAGGCGGGTGGAAGATGCGTTTCACAGCGTTTCCTAATGATTAAGCCTGGGGTGTGGGAAAGGAGTCAAGGAGCGCACCCCACATGTGTGCTGTGGCAGCAGAAAGGTGGGCTTCTCTCAGCAGAGATGGGGAAGATGCTTGCAGGAACCTGTGTGGGGGCGGGGTGGGCATTGCAAGAGTCCAGCTGAATGGAAAGTCAAGGTGGGATGTGTGTTAGAAACACCAGTGAGGTGTCAGGTTGGCTGTTTGACAGATGAGTCTGGGGACCTTTAGGGAAATGTCAGGGCTGGAGACACAGATTGGGAGGTGATGCTATGAAAATGACATTTAAAACCGTGAGCATAGACACTGCCACCAACGGAGTCAGGGCTGTGGAAGAGGAAAAAACAGGGACTGGACACTAAACCACCTCTCCTGACAGTGGGGACGTTCATCCTGGTGACTCACCCAGGTTGGTGATGGCCAGGTCTCCTGGCTACAAGTTTTATCACCTCACCTCTCCTTCTTGACAGAGGTAATTAAAATACTCATAAAGGATATTTACGGCCCTGGCTGGATGGCTAAGTTGTCTGGAGTGTCCTCTTACAAACAAAAAATGTTTGGTTTTCAACCCTGGATCAGGGCATGTCCTTCGGTTGGGGGTTCGAGCCCTGGTGGGGCGCGCATGGGAGGCAACTGATCAATGTATCTCTTTCATATCAATATTGTCTCTCTCTCTTTCCCTCTCTCTAAAGTCAACAAAACATGTCCCCAGGTAAAGAATATATATTTTTAAAATAAGGAAGAAAGTGATACCAAACACGAGACCACTATTTTTGACATTGACAACCTTGTTTCCCCCCCCTCCCCAATTTGCAAGGTGCAGTCATCATTCTCCACGGGCTAGAATTACAGAGGGTTTTTTTTTTCTTCTTCCCCACCAGTCTAAGAAAAACAGACAGGATTACGTGGAGCGTCACACATATGTGGTCACCAGACGGGATGGGGGTCGGGCTGGGGGCGCTGAGTGGAAAAGGAGAACGTCGCTCAACTGAGCCACCCGGGTCAGAGCCACCTGTGGGTTTCGAGGAAATTCCGTGCCCAGCCGTGCCCTGCGCCTGCGCCGTCCGTACTCCCAGCAGCCACGCAGGCAGCTGCGGCACGTGGAGCAGGAGCCGGACTCGGGCAGAAACCCGCTGGGGGGCGCGCGGGGCGCCGCGGAGCCCGTGTCACTACAGTCCCTTCTTCCTGAGTCTTCTTGTCTTCAATGTGCTTGTAAACAATGTTCACTTACACTATCTTTTACACTTATTTTTGACTTTCACTTCCCATACAATATTATATTAGTTTAAAATCACAGCATAGTAATGAGACACCCGTAGACCTTATGCAGAGATTCGCCCTGACAAGCCTGGGGCGCACCTGGCACCACGCTCGTCACCACAGTGTCGCTGACTGTGCTCCCCGTGCTGCTCGTCACACCTGGGACTGTCCCGTCGCTGCCGGTCTGCGCTTCTCAACCCCTTCGCCCGTTTTACCCCGGCCCCCGAACCCCCTCGCATCGGACAAACATCGGTTAATTTTTAATTTCTTAAAGTATAGTTTACATTCAACATTATTTTGTATTGCACATCAACTGAAACAGAAAAGTCAAAAGCATTTTAAAACCTAAAAAAGAGTCCTCGCGAGTAACTCACGTGTTTGGAGTGGCGCCCTGGGCACCAAACGGTTGTAGGTTCGATCCCCGCCAGGGGGCGCGCGAGAGGCAACCCCTCGCTGTTTCTCCCGCCATCTCCCCTCTTCTCGCTCTAAAAATCATTAGAAACATATCCTCAGGTGAGGATTAAAAGAACAAAATTTAAATGTAAAGAGTGAGAAGACAATCAACAACACGGGGAGCGCTGGGTCTTTGTTCGGGAAGGTTTATTTCTGAGGCTGCGCCGGCCCATCCGCAGCGGCCGCGTCCCGCGTTCCTGCCTCTCCCGGCGCTGCCCCTCCGCGCTCTGGTCCGGGCTCCTGCGAAGGAACCAGCGCGCCCTCCGTCGGGACCGCTCGCCGGGAAATACATACATACAGAAAGAAAAAAAATAAGAAAGAGAGAGAAAGCCGAGAGAGTGATAGAAAGCATTGATGTCAATATTATTCTGCAATAACTAAAATACTTGCATCATTTCTAATAGCTATTTGATGTCTATGTGTTGACAGGATCTGTGATAATATGTATATAATTTTGGAAACAAACAGCATCATGGGTTCTTTCTTCACATGAAATCCATAAAGGGACGCAAATCCATTAATCTATTAACCAAACAGCTTCATGTAAGGAGAACGCATTTTGAACAAGGGCTAGTTCCCGTGTAACCGCTGTCCTGCCCACAAAGTCCGGCCTGGCCTTGTCCTGCGGCTCAGAGGACTGCGCGCCGCCCCGGAGCCTCCGGTTCCCAGTCGGGGCGCCGGCCGGGGCTGCGGCCAGGTGCGCGGTAGGGCGCGTGCGAGAGGCAGCCGCACCTCGGTGTTTCTCTCCCTCTCTCTCTCCCTCCCTTCCCCTTTCTCTAAAAATAAATAAATAAATAAAAGCTTTAAAGGACAAATAAATCTGATCTAATCCGGGGCCAGGAAGCTCCCCAGGAAAATCCCACGTGTGGAGTCGAAGACGTGACAGTGAACCAGACGCGCGGGCCCCTGCGGGGGGCGTGAGCGGTGGGGACAGAGCGGACGGATTCTTCCACTTTCCACAGCGGACGTGACCTTGGATGCGGACGCGACCTTGGATGCAGACGCGGCCAACAGCCGCCTCTCCGTCTCCGGGAACCTGGGGCGAGGCCGCTGTGCGCATCTGGACCAGGAGCGCGGGGCGCGTCCCGACAGGCGCGGCGCCGCCCTTTGCGCGCCGGGCTCCCCTCGGCGCCCGCGGGGCCGGCGTTCCCGGGAGGCGGGCGCGGGGACCAGCGCGGAGCGGAGCCGGGCGTCGGCAGGGCCAGGGCGTCCTCTCTTCGGAACGGGGCTTCTGGGCCGTGAGTTGCGGGGACAAGGACACCTTCCTGGCGAAGGCCGAGCCGGTGACGGCGCTCTTGCGTCGGTCCCCAATTACGCCGCGTGGGCGTTTTCCTGGACGTGGGAATGAGAACCATCTCCTTTTATCGCGCGGGCGACGGCTCCCACATTTTCGCGTTCCCTCCGTGTCTGCGGCAGAGCCCCTGCGTCCGCGTTTCGCCCCTGCAAGCCCGGCGAGGGACGCGGGCGCCTCCCGCCGCTCCGCGCCGGGTTCAGTCCAGCGCGGCCAGTGCGGCCGGGCGGGGCCGGACACGCCGTGCGCGCTCGCGGCCACGGTGCCCGCGGCTCGGCTGGTCACCCAGCGCCGCGGGAACGCGCGGGGCGGTTCCTGAGTCCCAAACACACATTGTTGGGAAGTTACACGTGCCACACTTA